ATATTTATGCAAGGCTATGTGATTTACTTCTATTATTCAATCTTTAAAACAACCTTATGAAGCAGAAGCTATTATTGTCTATTCTCAGATATAGGGGAAAGTGTTTCGCCCCAAATTAGTCCTCAGAAAATAGGGTATCCCCTTATGTTTGAGTCCTGACAAAGTCTGTCCTGTGGTGGGGATTACTCTATTTTAACCTTAAAGTAGTTTAAGTAATTGTCCCAGAATTATGAAAATAGGTGCCTGTGGTTTGGGATTGATTAATATTCAAGTATTTGTGGTATTATATCCATTTTATAGAAGAGGAAACTGAGACTTGGCGAAGTTAAATAACTTGCCCCAGATCACACAGCTAATAACTGGTACAGCCAGGATTCAAACCAGGCATGCAATCTTACTTCCATATCCTCATTATTAATCCTCCTCAGAGTCTTTCTTTCACTTTTAAAAAGGTTTCAATCTAGGGGATCGCTGATTTTTTTTTCCTTTTTGGTATTTCATTCTAAGAGCAGAGAAAACCAGAAAATGAGTATCTGTCCAATCTGGAGCCATGCCTTTATGGATAGCACTAGGACGCTCTAGTTCACCTTCTAAGCCACGGTGGCATGGGATTCCCTCGGTTACATCCTTGCCAGGTGATCACCCTGCCTCCCTTTGCCATTAGTGGAAAGTTTATTACGTCCCTCGTCAGTCTCTTACCTTGGTGCTACTTGTAGGAGTTCTTCCTCATATGGAGCTGAAATTGTCTAACAGAAAAGAGATCAACATTTACCTGTGTTTGTCTCATCTGATCTCCCCTGTCCTTCCCTCCCCTTCCTCTCTCCTTCCCAATAAATGTTTTATTTCAGAATAGTTTTAGATGTATAGAAAAGTTGCCAAGCTAATACAGAGATTTTTCTATATACCCCTCAGTGTATTGTTAACATCTTACATTGCTGTGGTACATTTGTCAAAACTAAGAAACCAACATTGGTCCATTGTGATTAAGTATAAACTCCAGACTTTATTCTGATTTCACTAGTTTTCCTCTAACGTCCTTTCTCTGTTCCATGATCCCAAATTACATTTAGTCATTCTGTTTTCTTAGTCTCATCTGGTGTATGATAGTTTTTCAGCCTTGTTTTTCATGACCTTGACAGTTTTGAAGAGTATTAGCCAGGCATTTTGTAGACTTTTTCTCAGGATTTATCTGATGTTTTGTCATGTGGTTTTGGGTTTGGGAGAATACAAAAATGAATGTCATTCTCATCACATCATGGTAGGGACACAATATCAATATGACTTATCACTGGAAATATTAACCTTGATCTTCTGGCTAAGGTCAAGTTACTCATCCCTCCCCTTTTTATACATGATTTTTTGAGAAGCAAGGCATGTGCATCCCACACTCATGAAGTGGGGATATTGCGCTCTGTCTCTAGGTGGGGGGTATTCGCATTAACTATTGGGACTTTTCTGTAAGGAAGATTTTTCTCTTCTCCTACATTTATTAATTAATGCACTCATTTGTATCAGTATGGCGTGATGCACATTTATTCTATACTTTGGATTATAATCCATTACAACTTAATTTTCTTGCTCAAATTGTTTCAGCTTTGGCCGCTGGGAGGTCTTCCAGTTATCTCCTGTGTCCTTTTGACTTGCCACCATTCTTTTGTGTTGTGTTTTTATTTTCAGGACTTCCTTTACTTTCAGGCACTGCAAGATCTCCCAGGTTCCTCTTGTATTTTCCCTGACTTATCCCTAGAATTAGCCATTTCTCCAAGGATCCCTGTTTCCTTTTATTTGAGAACTAGAGGCCTGGTGCATGGATTCGAGCACCAGTGGGGTCCCTCTGCCTGACCTGCGGGGACTGGGCCGAAACCGGCTCTCTGACATCCCCCAAGGGGTCCTGGATTGCGAGAGGGCACAGGCCAGGCCGAGGGACCCCACCAGTGCACGATTGGGGCTGGGGAGGGACCAGGGGAGGACTCCAGGGCGTGTCCGGCCCATCTAGCCCAGTTCCAATTAGCTGGACCCCAGCAGCAAGCTAATCTACTGGTTGGAGCATCTGCCCCTGGTGGTCAGTGCACGTCATAGCCACCGGTCGACCAGTCAAACGAATGGTTGGACACTTAGCATATCAGGCTTTTATTATATAGGATATTAGAAACTTAGATCTGACCACTGGGTTTGCTCATTGCTACTGGGGTGTCACTGCTTCTAGAACCTGCTAGTGGACAGAGTTAGGAAATGCGTTATGTATAGCAGTCCATGTCGCACACATGTCTGCAGTATTTCTGTATCTACATTTGCTTCCATAGTAAAGCTTTTTTTTTTTTTGAGCACTTTTATTTTACTGTATAACCAACAGTGAGAACATGATTTGCTGTCTTCTACTGGGGGAAGAAAGTGAAAATGGAGAACTTGACAAAAATAATTTAAGAGCTTAGCCATCTTCTTAGTATATCATGTCCATTTAGAAATAAAGAGATTATAAGAGGCTAAGGAACTAGATAGAGGAACAGTCAGGATTGGATTCAGAGGGTTTGAGATGGAGCCTCCTTACTTCCGATGCATCGCATGCCTCTTTCTCACTGATCAGTACTTTTGGCTTTGTATTCAACTCCATAATTAACTTCTTGGAATGCAGTGAGCAGATGAGAATGAAATTTTAGGAATTGGTGTGATCAGGTATTACCTAGCCAACGGAAGTCTGCTGGAGTGACACTACTAAGGGATTTTGCTCTCTAGCAAAACATATGTTAGATTTACAACTTGGGAGTGATGCTCTGATGGACAGATGTTAGTGAGTGAGTCTTTTCAAATGATTATGATGATTGTCCTACTGTTTTCATTTTAGAACTATCTCTTAAAAAATCCTTTTGTTCTGGGAGAGATTCATAGGCCTTTTGTAGGAAAGATACTTGATGTATACGCTTGCTTTTTAGAAATGGGATATACAACAATGAAGGAATCTGCTTAATGTCATCCAAGGAGTTGGAGATAGAGTAAGAAGTAAGAAAAAAAGAAAGAAAGGAAGAAAGAAAATACTGCAAACCCCACAGCCCTTCTTTTAACAGGCCAACAACACCTCCTTTCTTTTAAATTGCTTTTGGCAACTTGTAAAGCAAAGAAAGAATACTTGAAGGTTCCTCTCAAGAGAATCCTGAAGCTATAGAACAATTCTAGGATGCCTTCAAAACTTTCAGTGTTTCCTTTGAGAAGTGGGTGTGTTTATATTTGATGAATCCTGTCTTGTCACCATGTAACAGTAAAATCTCTGTTCTGTTCTTTACAGTTGTACTTTATTCATTCCAAAGACCATTTTATTTTGTGTGATACATTGTGAACATCCAAGATTTTTAGTGGAAATAAATGGCAACAGCTGTTTTCATGTACCAAATAATATAATTGTGAACCATAACCTTGACATGATACTAGTATATCCAAATTTTTCCAGGCATAGAAGTGACTTGACAAGAAAAGCTTGTTTTGGGTGGTCATCCCAATATAGAGTCATATTCTGCTGCTTGCCGCCAACTTCATTCAGAAGGAGAGAGATTTTCCTATATCTTTCTTTATTCCAATACTCCATATTCACATGGATTTTCCTCTTTAAAATAGTGCATGTTCACCTACATAAACCTACACCCTGAAGTCCCAGCTTCCTTTCCTGCTTTATTACTCTCTATTTTACATCATCTAATATATTTTATATTTTACTTCTTTAGCTTTTTAATTGTCTATTTCCCCCAACTAGACCTTAAGCTCTATGAGAGCAGGGGATTTGTTTTGTTCACTGCTGTATCCGCAGATCTAGAATAGTACCTGAGATAGAGTACATGCTTAATGAATACTTCTGAATGAATAATGTGAAAGTTGCAAGTTGTGATCATTTGTCCCCTGGTTTTAATTTAAGTACAAATAGTTAAGTTTTATTTTATAGAGTTATTTTATATTATAGATGAAATTAAATCACACTATTTAAAATGGGATTTATCTATTCACCCAAAATCTCAGAATCTGTACTACAAATGTGCATAGTGCTTTGGAAGTTACGCAGTTTACTGCAGTATTGCAATACTATTTTCACATGCGAGGAATTTTAAAATTCTCTTCTAACCACCACTCAAGAAATTGGTGGAAGAGCTAATAGCAAGAATGTTTTCAAGGTATTAGATGAATTACCTTCATACTAATCCAAAAATATCTTGAACCCCAAGTGACATTACCCAGTTTGATCCCTTATTCTATTCACCAGAATTAGGAGAAAATGGATTCTCATTATTATATTAAAAAAACAACACCTATTCAGGCTGATATTTACCAATATAGAGGATATTAAAAAGAATATGCTGCAAAAGCTGAGGTCATTCTTCTGAAGGAATATCAGCCCTCATTTGGATATATAGATACTGGCATGTTTTTATTTGTAATCATTTACTTTACAAATATGTTAATTTTACTTTAAATTTCTAGTGTCTGAAGTACTTGTATTTTTAATTTTGAAACTAGTGGACTCTGTTTAAGCAATATGTAAGATAATATAAAAGGGTCTACAACTTGACTACCTTATTTATAAAATAGATCTTTCGCCCTAGCCAGTTTTGCTCAGTGGATAGAGCATTGGCCTGCAGACGGAAACGTTCCAGGTTCTATTCCGGTCAAGGGCACATACCGCCTCGGTTGCAGGCTCGATCCCTGTGGGTGGGAGGCAACCAATTGATGTTGCTCTCTCACACTTGTTTCTCTTCTGTGTCCCTGCCCCGCCCTTCCACTCTCTCTAAAAATCAATGGAAAAATAACCTTGGGTGAGGATTAACAAAAAAAACACACTAGACTTTCAAAACAACTCTAAAGTCAGACTTCATGCAGTATTCTCTCCAGAATGAGACAAACAAATAAGAAGCAATCTAGACTGTGAACATCTAAGAGTTGTTTGCACCCTATGCGATGTAGTGCATAAATTACATCTTTGTACAAACGACGTATTTTCACATTACCACCTTTTATTTCAGAGCATCGGGGAGTCGACAATGCCTGTTGTGTTAAATCAGCTGCTGCCCATGATTAAGCCTTTGAATCAAAGGACCAACGATGACTACAGCCCAGAAGAGCTGTTGGTCCTCTTCATATACATTTATTCTGTCACTGGAGAGTTCACAGAGGACAAAGACCTGGCTGAAACAGAAGAAAAAGTGAAGAAAACACTGGCTCAAGTCTTATGTGAGGAGTCTGAGTTATCGCCTTTGCTGCAAAAAATCACAGGTGAGTGCTTAACAAAGATATGACATAAACATCGGTGATATAGAAAACAGGTTTAAAAATAAAAGCCATTTCAGCCCTGGCTGGTGTGGCTCGGTTGGAGCGTCGTCCCGTATACCAAGAGGTGGCAGGTTCAATTCCCGATCAGGGCATATACCCAGGTTGCAGGGGAGTCAACCGAGCAATGTTTCTCTCTCACATCGATGTTTCTCTCTCTCTCTTTGTCCCTTCCTCTCTCTAAAATCAATAATAAAATAAAAATTATAACAGCCATTTCAGAAAGAGGATGTAGCCATGTTTTTTGGAATGGTTTGGAATTTCATAAGGTCTGATGGATGCTAGCTAGCCTTTAGAATCAGAGGTTCGCACTGCAATATATTTTTTTCCAGTTGTGGGAGTGAAATGGCTTTCAGTGGCTTGTCGGAATTCATATTCCTTAGAGCCAGAGCCTTGTTAAATTAGCAAAATACTCATAGGGCATAACATCTTAAAAGAGAATATAAAATATGGTGCATCCTACTCAAAGGGTTTTTGTTGACATACTCTCTTTGGTATTGTCATTTCAAACTTAAAAAAGTTTTCCTAAGATATTACACAATGTTATAGGATTAAATAGTTGCCATAGTCCAGAATAGTTTCCTATTTTGATTTCTCATATTTCATTTTGAATCTGAATTAATTAATTAATACCCAAACATTCTAATAAAGTAGACTGTGTTAATTGGGGAGAAATGTAAAATTAAATATCATAAAATCTAACTTTTCACTTCTGGTAAGAACTGTGATATCACTGAGAGACATTTCATTTGTTTTATTTTATATCAAATTCAACATTTTTTATTTTCTGTAAAGATAATTTACAGAAATTAGTATGGACTGAGCCTGGTTCTGTTTGAAAGTCAGATGTTATTAAAACTTACCCATAAAACTTAAATGCTTTAAAAACATACCAAGTTTCCATTCACTAATGGGTGTGTGTGTAGACCTCTCCGTTCAGGAAGGCTCCGCTGAGGCAGCTGGTGTAACTTCCAGCTTTTCCTCCTGTCCCCTGTTGCGCCTCCCCGGGGTGCATCCAGATTGCTCCCGCGCATGTGTGTTCTCCTTCGTGCCCACCGCTGACCTTTCCTCTGTGTGGTTATGGAAAATGAAAGCCTGATGAGATGGAAACCGAATCAAGTTTCCACAGAAATGAGCTTAGTGTAGAACCTGTTTGCCAACTTAAAATCTACTTAAGGAAAACGTGTGGAATTTGTTCCCATTTCATTTAGGTACAGCACTAGACGTGATTACTTGTGTTTGGCTGTAGACAAGCATTGAAGCTTTAATATGGTTTATACAGTGCTAAGAACAGTGATTTGATTAAAGGTGAAATTGAATGCTACGAGAATTTAATTGGAGGTTATTCTTGAAATGTGTAATTTCAGAAACAGACAACAAAAATGGTGTGTTTTAGCTGAGGCTGTTTGGATAGCTTTTCTGTAGCATTAGTAGTTCCTTTATTATTTTGGGAATTGAAGTCATGCTGTACAAGTATTCATTTAATATTTGCTTGAGGTGTTTATTGACCTAGCATTTCATTCTTTATTAGTTTCTATATTTATGATTGCCCAGGATATTGCCTTTTCTTGCTTTTAACTGTGATTTCACATTTTAAAACACTTGTGTACATTCATGTTTGCATGAGGAAAATTTGTATGTGTAGTAGTTGAAGAATTAAAAATTTGTGGAATTTTAGTATGTTTAAAATTTCTAGAGATACCGTATTTCGTAATACTGAGTATACATTTCTCCCTGGATTAACTTTGCCTGTACAGCTTAAACTGGATGAATAAGATATGGTACTTAAATTGGACTCAAATGAACTTACCAGTGGAACACACATGCACTAATCAACCTCTGTGCACCCAAAAGGACTTGGCTTCTGAAGATAGACTTTGACTTTGCCGGTTAGACATCCCCTCGTTAAATAGGTTGTAAAGTGGTGTCCTGAGAAGTAGGGTTCATGTTTGCAGCTAGCTGCTGAGGAGAATGTGTAATCTGCATCCTATGATAACAGGTAACAGGGTGGTGTTGAGGCTGTCGTGACTCAGTCTTGTGGAATAGGATGGGATACCCCACTATGTACTGGAAGAATCGAATTGCTTTTAAATGTGCTTATTGTGGAATGAGGTTAGCCTGGCTTTTTACCATGAACTTGCCCACAGAGTTGTGCTTATGTTATTCCAAGTTAGTTTAGGCTTATTTGTTACTGGGTGGCAGAATTCATTTTATGCCTTGTGCACATTTTGTGGTTGATGATGAGTTGGTTAAAAAGTATTATTGAAAATAAGCAATGAGTCAATATAAGAATTCTGCTTTTTATAAAATGCTATAATTTTACTGCTCTTAACTGTTGATAGGATCAAGAGAGCAACACTGTTTCTGTGCTTAAAAACCTAAGCATGTTATCATCACCCAATTGCTGAGTGATAGAGCCAGGATTTGAATCCTGGTGTTCGGGATCTAGAACCCACGTCTTAAAACACAAAATTCTAAACCTGCTGCGACCTCACTTCCATAACCCCTGCATTTATAATATTCTCTAACTTAGACTTGCTTACACTTATTGTGTTAAGCCATGCATGCTCAACCATTCCTCTATGTTCTTGTTTTCTGAACAGTGAATTAACATTTGGTTAATATTTTAGATATTGTTGGTGCACTTGAATCTGTCTATAATAGCTACTTATAGACATTTCTGTATACCTTCCTATTTTTATACATGTATCCTCTTTGTTTCTGCATTGCTATAAAGAAATTAAATGATCATTTCTAGTCATTGGAATCTATTGGTTGTCTAGCTTTACTAAAACAGGATTAAGCAAACTTAATTTTTTTGTTTCAGTAATATCTCTTGACAATACTTTGTATGTAAAATTCATATTTCCTTTTATATGTTAAATATGTAATTTAATTTTGACAATTTCTTTTCTTTTTCCCTATTCTTCCCTTTATGGAAAGGACAATGAGAAATTGTAACTGGCAAATCAAAACAAAACTTCAGCATGGTCAATGGCAATCTACTACTTTCTTTTTAATAGATACTTTTTGGGAGAGTGGTAGGCAAAAACTCTCTTTTTCTACTCACACAAAATAACAAGGGCTGGCTCTCTGGGTGTCAGTGATGGGAGCTGAAGAAAGAAAATTGGTGTGTCCTAAATAGGTCCTTTAATGTTGTCCTTTCTCAGCCTTGCTAACTTCAAAGAGGCTATCATATCAGTTTCCATATACATTAGTGTTTGCATGGCAGTCACAAGAGAAAACAAAGGAAAACCATTTGAACTCTCTGCAGAGAATGAACTCAAAATGCGAATTTTAAAGATCTGTACAGACTTGAAATGGCGTCCTACAAGAAAGCATAGGGCTCAGAGGCAGAAATCCTTGTGTTAGGATCCTCTGCCATTTCCTAGCAGTGTGTATTATCGGACAAATCATCCATCTTTGATAATAATAAACGAGTGCCCTATTGATCACTCAGGATTTTGTCAAGAATAAAACAGTGTTTTGTGTGTGAGCTAATTTTTGATCCATGTAGTATTGTTAATAGCTCATCCCCCCCCTTGATATTATTATTTTGATAGCATCTAGTTGTCATATAGGGTAGTGCATTGTGATGCACACAGGCAGTGGGAATGTTTGCATAGTATACTGAGGTAAATAGGCAGGACTCTTGTGGACAGAGGCAACTAGCCCTGGGGGTTCTGGCCATTCCAGGCTTTACCCAGTTGACCTGTGAACTGAAGTGAAACAACAGCTTGGCACACCTGGAACCTATTAGGGGCAAATCAGTGTGCTAAGATTGGTTGGTCAGAAGGCTCTGGAATCAGAAGCAAAGACAAACAAAACTTGCATATGGATTTTAATATCCCAAACTATTTTGGAAAAATTTCTTTTTGGTAAACAATTTTTATATTATTCATTGACTTATTTCCCCCAATTTTTATACTATCTTTAAAGAAAAGGTCAATAGGGGTTTTATGTATTTAGTGACCTTTAGAGTAAAGCTAGGGAATTAATGATTTAAGGTATCTAAAAATTATGTGGCTCAGATAGAGCTATAATAATACCATAGAAACTGTAAGTTATATTTGTTAGACTCTTCTTTTACTTCCTGTTTTTAACTTGAGATTATCAGTTACTGTATTATCGCATTAGGATTGCACCTGGATATATGGAATGGAAAATTTACCAAATTAGCTTAACAAAGAGGGACTTATTTTTCTCAACAGGGAGTTCAAAGACAGCCAGCAGGACTCTTTCTGGATTCTTTCTCCCTCTCTCCTTTCCCTCCCTTCCTTCCTCCTTGAAGGCATGGTTTTGTCATCATGGTCCTAAGATGGGCACTTTTTCTTGACATATTGTATCCATGCTTCAGTCAAGAGGTGAGAAAGGATGAAAGTAAAAGGCGTATAGTAGCTTTGCCAGTGTTGCTCAATGGTTGAGCATCAACCCATGGACCAGGAGATCACAGTTCGATTCCCCAATGGGGCACATGCCTGGGTTGCGGCCTTGATCTCCAGTAGGGGAAAATTGATGATTTTCTCTCATCATTGATGTTTCTATCTTTCTCTCCCTCTCCCTTACTCTCTCTGAAATCAATTTTTAAAAAAAGGCATATAGTAGTGCACTCTCCTTTTTTATATTAGGAAAACAATACTCTTTCTGTAAGTCCTACCCAAAAGACTTGCATCATTGGCTAGAACTGGGTTTCATGATCACTTCTGGCTATAGGAGAATCTGATGGGTGTTTTTAACTGGGCATCTGTTTGTCATGAACAAAATCAGGGTTCTGTTGGAAGAAAAAGGGTGAGAATGGACATTAGGTAAGAAACTTGTATTTGCTGCAGTTATCATTATAGGCTCCCGTGACAGAGGAAATTCTGAGGCAAAATAATATCCTCTGGAGTGATGCCCAATATTGTTATATAATATTGAAATGTCCTTTAAAAGCATTTACTGAAATG